AAGAAAGAAATTCCTAGAAATGGAATTGCTGGGTGGATTTATTATATTTTCTTATTTTCTGTATTCCTGATGCTCTGGCATTTGGGGCCTTAATCCTGGAGAGACCTCCCTTCTCAGGGCTAGTTATTTCTTAGAGACAGCAGATGACTCCCCTGCAAGCACACCTTTGATATACAAACCAACCAATCCAGAGCCCACACCCCAACCATCTCCTTTTCAAACTCACACACTAAGCCAATCTCTCCCTGCCTGCCCTAAATCACTCCAGGGTCAAATACTGGATAACTAGAAACCACCCCTATGGTTTACCAAAATTAAACCATTCAAATCTAAATTTACTCAGAGTACTTGCCATGCCTCACCCATTCCTTCCCTCGGAAACCCCAGTAGAGGCGGGGGCCATGCTCACCCTCCCTCCCTGTGCTTCCTGAGGGTCCTGCTGTGCCCCTCTGTGGTGGGCCGTGTCTCCTGTTTCCAGGAATCTGTGGGTATAAACTTTTTCCTTCATGAAGATCATTTGTATGTCTGGGAGTCTTGTCATAACTGATTAAAATAAATCCCCCAGGTATATTTCAACACTCTAGGTTAAAAAGTAATCACCGGCTGGGCACAGTGACTCACACCTGTAGTCTCAGCACTTTGGGAGGCCAAGGTGGGTGGATCATGGGGTCAGGACTTTGAGACCAGCCTGGCCAACATGGTGAAACCCCATCTCTACTAAAAATACAAAAATTAACTGGGTGTGGTGGTGCACACCTGTAATCCCAGCTGCTCGGGAGGCTGAGGCAGGAGAATCTCTTGAGCCCGGGAGGCAGAGGTTGCAGTGAGCTGAGATCGTGCCATTGCACCCCAGCCTGGGCGACAGAGCAAAACTCTGTCTCAAAAAAAAAAAAAAAAAAAAAAAAAGTAATTGCCTTGGCCAGGCGCGGTGGCTCACGTCTGTAAGCCCAGCACTTTGGGAGGCCGAGCCGGACGGACCACCTGAGATCAGGATTTTGAGAACAGCCTGATTAACAAAGTGAAACCCATGTCTGCTAAAAACACAACATTAGCTTGGCATGGTAGTGGGCACCTTGGCTGGGCGCAGTGGCTCACGTCTGTAAGCCCAGCACTTTGGGAGGCCGAGCCAGACGGACCACCTGAGATCAGGAGTTCGAGACCAGCCTGATTAACAAAGTGAAACTCCATCTCTGCTAAAAACACAACATTAGCTTGGCATGGTAGTGGGCACCTGTAATCCCAGTCACTCGGGAGGCTGAGGTAGGAGAATCGCTTGAACCCGGGAGGTGGAGGTTGCGGTGAGCTAAGATCTTATCATTGCACTCCAGGCTGGGGGCCAAGATTGAAACTCCGTCTCAAAAAAACAAACAAACAAAAAAGTGATCGCGTTGTTTTTCTATTTATGAGAACTGTCAGTTGCCCTTTCTAGAAGTTGTGCTCACTGCTAGCCTACAAACAAGACCTGAGGTTATGTTTCCCAGCTCCTTTGCCGATACAGTTATGAGACATTTTACCCACTTTCAACAGGATAGCTGAAAACTGGAATTACAGTGTAGTTTTATGAAATCAAATCATTCAAACTTAAACTAATTTAAACTTAAAGCTGCTGGAACCTTGAACTACTCTGAAACTTGAGAGCAATGTGGCTATGCAGCTTGAATCACAAGGATGCAGCAGCAACTTCTGCCTTTTTTTCCTGTAAATAAGAAGACCAAGAGGTGCTAGCTGTGAGAGCCCCCTCTGATGGTTGCTCCTCCTCACACAGCAATAATCTTCCTTGGAACGGGGTTGCTGTCTGGAACCAATCAAATAGATGTAACTTATGCACTGGTCTCACATGGAAAATGTTACAATCCTGCTACAATGTCAGTCTCTGTGCATATAAGTGAAACCTTAACTTCTCTTTAGAAATGCTGTCCCCATTAGTTTGGAGTCAGTGTCTCCTGGGTGGACATCCTCAAGCTTTGTGCTCAAATAAACTCTGTACTTAATCATATTTGTCGAACTTCATTATTTAAGCTTGGCAGTTTCAATGCACAATTCTTACTATGAGTAAGGCAGACATCTTTCCATATATATATATATATATATTTATATAGAGTCTCACTCTGTCACCAGGCTGGAGCGTAGTGGCTGGATCTCTGCTCCCTTCAACCTCCACCTCCCGGGTTCAAGCGATTCTCCTGCCTCAGCCTCCTGAGTAGCTGGGATTACAGGTGCCTGCCACCATGCCCAGCTAATTTTTGTATTTTTTAGTAGAGATGGGGATTCACCATGTTGGTCAGGCTGGTCTCAAACTCCTGACCTCAGGTGAGCTACCCACCTCAGCCTCCCAAAGTGCTGGGATTACAGGCACAAGCTACCGCAACCGGACCATCAACTTTATTAGACAAACAATTTTGTCCCGCCTCCATTCTACCTACAACTGGGACCTGAAGCTCAGGGGTGGCAGAGGTCTCAGTGACCTTCCAGCGCCAGCGCACAAAACAAGCTAGTGTCAAAAGAAGGACCAGTGTATAGGCCTTTGACACCCCAGCCGGGACTCAAGCTCTGTGCTTTGGTGACGGTGGTGTCAATGGGCAGGTGAAATAGTCATAGCTGAGCTTTAGGAAGATTGATAATGTGTTTGGCATGGATGGATGTATTCATCGTGTTTTTTGTTTTCTGCATTTCCTGATACTTTGACATCTTGGGGCCTTAACTGACCCTTGAAGATACTGCCCCTCCCAGGTCCAGCCAATTCCTAAAGATAGTAAACTCTGGCCTGCGAGTCCACCTTTCATGTGCAAGCCGACCCACCCGAAGCCTACGCCCCAACAATCTCTATGGAGCTCTCATGCTCCAGGACACTATCCCCTGCCCCCAGCTACCCCAGGGCCAGGTCCCGGACAACCAGGGACAGACCCCACGCTGCACAGCCACCAAATCACTCAAGCTGATCCCAAGCCTGCCTTGCCTACCTGCTTCCTATAAAAACCAGAATAAAGTTTGTTTTGTTTTGTTTTGTTTTGTTTTTTGAGAAGGAATCTCGCTCTGCTGCCCAGGCTGTAGTGCAGAGGCTGGATCTCAGCTCACTGCAAGCTCCGCCTTCCGGGTTCACGCCATTCTCCTGCCTCAGCCTCCCGAGTAGCTGGGACTATAGGCACCCGCCACCTCGCCCGGCTAGTTTTTTGATTTTTTAGTAGAGACAAGGTTTCACCGTGTTAGCCAGGATGGTCTCAGTCTCCTGACCTCGTGATCTGCCCGTCTCGGCCTCCCAAAGTGCTGGGATTACAGGCTTGAGCCACCGCGCCCAGCGTTTGTTTTTTCAAGATAGTCTCCCTCTGTTGCCCAGGCTAGAGTACAGTGACACGATCTCAGCTCACTGCAGCCTCCACTTCCCAGGTTCATGCGATTCTCCCCGCTCAGCCTCCCGAATACCTGGGACTACAGGTGCCCACCACCACTCCCAGCTAATTTTTGTATTTTTAGTAGAGATGGGGTTTCACCATGTTACCCAGGCTGGTAACTTGAACTCTTGACCTCAAGTGATTTGCCCGCCTTGGCCTTCCTAAGTGCTTCCTAAGTGCTGACATCACAGGCATGAACCACCGCGCCCGGCCCAGAATAAAGGCTTTTGCTCACACCTTTCCTGGCTCCCTTTGCCTCCTGACCAACCCTGGTGCTTCCTTGTGTGGCCTCCTACTTCTAGGGACCCGTGAGTACCAGGCTTCTTCCTTCACGACAGTCATTTCTGCGTCTGCATGTCTCACTCAGCGTACGTGATTAAAACAAATGGTGGCTACGTGCTAAAGCAGTGGGGATGGGTGGGGGGCGGAGCTGACTCAGTAGCCGTCCAGCTGCAGGCACTTAGCGAATGTGCAGAGGAGGAGGAAGGACGCTCTGGGGCACAGACACAGGGTGCCTTCTGCTTTGGAGGACTCTGAAGCGAGTGGTGTTGAGGAGGCTCCAGGACAAGCCACGGTGGGGAGAGTTGCTAGAAAGGCTGCTGACGGGGTCGCTGTGTGCGCCCATGCATTCTGTGTGTTCCACAGAGATCTCAGACACAGCCTGTGCTTTACTCACTACAACACCAGTCCATGGAGTTCAGTCACTTCTCACCTGCCCCAGACGGTGTCACTGTGCATCCCCCTCCATAGGGGGCACCTTGTCTAACACACGTGAAGGTGCAGACTCCTTGTGCAGACTCCTTGGTGACCACCGGGCACCCTCTGCAGCCACACATCACAACAGCTTCAGGAATGTTGTGGGTCCACCCGCCCCCCCTCCCAGATCCCTTGACTTACCTTTATTCCTCAGGAATTTCATGGGGTTCGTAGGTGACGCCGCTAAAAGGGCATCAAAGGGGATCAAGAAGAAGAGATTTTAAGATGGCTTAAGATGAATTTGGGAAAACAAGGAAATAACTTGGCATTAGAGAAGGCAGCCTAACACACAGCTTCCAAATATCTCAGATGGCATGTGTTAATACATTCCTCCCAACGCCTGGCAGCAATGTGTGGGTTAATTTGCAGAAGCCTGGTGTTCTTTTTGCATCCGGTGCTCCCTATCACGAAGAATGACCTTTAGGAACAGGATACGTTTGGTTTCTGGCCTCCTTTTGCAGTCATACAAGTTGGGAAATCTCTGCCCAAATTGAGGACCTGGAGGGAATTTGAGTTGAAGGGGCTATGACCTCATTAGAAGGTCAGAGAGGGTTGGGCACAGTGGCTCGTGCCTGTAATCCCAGCGAGGCGGGCAGATCACGAGGTCAGGAGTTCGAGACCAGCCCGACCAACAGGGTGAAACCCTGTCTCTACTGAAAATACAAAAATTAGCTGGGCATGGTGGTGCATGCCTGTAGTCCCAGCTACTCAGGAGGCTGAGGCAGGAGAACTGCTTGAACCTGGAGGTGGAGGTTGTGGTGAGCCGAGATCGCGCCATTGTACTCCAGCTAGGCGACAGAGAAAGACTCTGTCTCAAAAAAAAAAAAAAAAGATCAGAGAGCCAGGCAGAGAGGCCAGGGAGCCAACAGTAGTGTCCTTTCCTCGGACACAAATTAGATGCAAATATATCACACAGCATTTCCTTTGCACGGAATGGAGATTGTTTATAAGCATCATGTATCTCCACAAACGGTTGCTGAGCTTCAAAGATTGTCGGGGTTGGTTTTGCTGTTGTAAGATAAACAGACATCCTCTAGTACTCAAATTAGAAAGGAACCATAGAAAACACTTATAAAGAATTCTCGGCCAGGTGTGGCAGCTCACGCCTGTAATCCCAGCACTTTGGGAGACTGAGGCAGGAAGATCATGAGGTCAGGAGATCGAGACCATCCCGGCTAACATGGCGAAACCCCGTCTCTACTAAAAATACAAAAAATTAGCTGGGCCTGGTGGCGGGCGCCTGTAGTCCCAGGTACTCAGAAGGCTGAGGCAGGAGAATGGCGTGAACCTGGGAGGCGGAGCTTGCAGTGAGCCGAGATCGCACCACTGCACTTCAGCCTGGGCGACAGAGCAAGATCCGTCTAAAAAATAAAAATAAAAATAAAAATAAAAATTCTCTACACTCATAAACCTTCTGTGTCTAGATTTGCATGCTCTACTGCCAAAACATGCACCAAATTACAATTCAAGTCAGACAGACACATCTGTGTAATCTGGATGGGATCAAGGTTTTTGTGTGTGCTAATTAAAGTGAAATGAAGAAGAAAGAGAAGAAAGTGGCAATCCCTAAAGAGAAAGCACAACTTAACAGAGTGAAGAGCATAAAATCGAATTTCCAAGCAAATGTTTATCTAATTACACTCTATTTTATGAACCTTTCCACTACCAAGCACACAGTACACATTCACACAGCAGATAAGAGAGGACTCCAGGCTACGATTCTCACTTCACTGAATGAGGAATTTAATGACTCACCCACGGATCTTGACGCAGCCCCTTGAATCCCAGGTAACTGGGTTTTACGAGAGAACACTTTGGGCCCTTTGGTGATGTTTCTGGGTGGTTGTGATTGTTTATTGCCTTGAAAAGAAAACGTTTTGCGGTGAAATGTAATTACCCTCTTTTTATCTCTCCTGAAACAGCTTTTCAGTTTTCCCTGAGTCACGTAAAACCAATGGTTGAAGCTACCTGGTAAGCCTGTTACGTTTCTAGTGGGATGGAGTCCATCTGCAAACGGCAAGCATAAATGAAGTGGGCATTCCATTACAAACAAAAACAAAATGAGGAAACCACTCTGAACCTTGTCCATCACTCTCAAATTATCAGCATTTTATCCTATGGATGAAAGGAAATACTCAGCTACAGTCCAGCATCTGCCCTCTATTTATCTGAGCAATCAAGCTCTACTCCCTTCAGAATGTTTGGGCAGTGACTTGGAGCCACCAGTGTGAGGTCAGTCCTTGCTGTGGTAACGGAGTTCCTTCATGGAACCAAGCTGACCAATGGGGAGACTACAGGGTAAAAGGGCAGTGCTTGGAGGTGCAGGCATGATGAGACTAGGTCCCTGCCTGCAGTGTGCAGATTAGTGAGGAGGCAGAAAGAAATCAATTACAGTCAGCCCTCTGCATGCGTAGTTCCCCATCCGTGATTTCCACCAACCTCACTTGGAAAATGTTCAGGAAAAAAGGAATGGGCACGGTAGCTCACGCCTGCAATCCCAACACTTTAGGAGGTCAAGGGCAGATCGCTTGCAGCCAGGAGTTCAAGAACAGCCTGGCCAAAACAGCAAAAGCCCAGCTCTACTAAAAAGACAAAAATTTGCTGGGTGTAGTGGTGCGCACCTGTAGTTCCAGCTGCTTGGGAGGCTGAGGCGTGAGAATCACTTGAACCCAGGAGGTGGAGGTTGCAGTGAGCTGAGATCACGCTACTGCACTCCAGCCTGGGCAACAGAGCAAGACTCTGTCTCAAAAAGATAAAACAACAAACGCAAAAACAAAAACAAAAACTAGCCATGCATGGTGGCGTGTACCTGTAGTCCCAGCTACTTGGGAGGCTGAAGCAGGAAGATCACTTGAGCCGAGGAGGCAGAGGTAGCAGTGAGCCAAAATCGTGCCACTGCCCTCCAGACTGGGCAACAGAGCAAGATTGTGTCTCCAAACAAACAAAAAAAAAAGAAAAAAGAAAAAGAAAAGAAAGTGGAAGGAAAGCAGTCACCCTTAGAAGGGAGGCAATGTGCACCAGGGAGACCCACAGCAGGAAGGTGAAAGGGGACTCCTGATGACTGAAAGTGGGCCCTAGGCTTCCGAGATGGCAGAAATGGAAGATGGGCTCAAAAAGGCAATGAACTCAGTCATGTATGAGGGAGACAGAGGGGACCCGGGAGTCCTGGACGTTAGGGAACACCAAAATCAATCTTGATTCTTTAGTGTCCAGGCTGTGCATGATAGGTGACAGGAAGGGAGTACTTCCCAGCAAGCAGCAGAAGTCTGGGACTTTCTTTTGACTCGTGACGTGACCTGAGATACAGGAGGCCCCCCTTTTTTCCTTTTTTTTGAGATGGAGTCTTACCCTGTCACCCTGGCACAATCTTGGCTCACTGCAACCTCCACCTCCTGGGTTCAAATGATTCTCCTGCCTCAGCCTCTGGAGCAGCTGGGACTACAGGCGCCCGCCACCACACCCAGCTGATTTTTGTATTTTTAGTAGAGATGGGGTTTCACCATGTTGGCCAGGCCAGTCTCGAACTCCTGATCTCATGATCCACCCACCTCAGCCTCCCAAAGTGCTGGGATGACAGGAGTGAGCCACTGTGCCCTGCCAGGAAGTCCTGTAAGACATTAAAAAAAACTGTATCTATTTAAACAGAGATGGGATCTTGCTATGTCGCCCAGGCTGGCCTTGAACTCCTCAGCTCAAGTAATCCTCCTGTCCCAGCCTCCCAAAATGCTGGCATGAGCCTCGGTGCCTGGCCTAGAAAGTTTTTCAAGATAATAATCTTGATAATAAGGTTATAAGTTACCAGGATGCTTGTGAAATATTGCATATGACGTATGAAATCCTTTGGAATCTCTAAATCAGAGAATTTGGATTCACTTTGGATATTAGAATACAATATCCACATCCTACTGGTAGTATGATTCTGGGTATATGATGCTGCTTTCTCTAAGCTAATACTGCTGACTTCATTCTCTCCAAGGGCCTTTGCATAAATCATGTAAAAAAAAAAAAATCCATCAATGACTAACTTGCCCCTGCCACATTTATCAGGTGACCACTAAAGTGTCAGGCCCTAAAAGGACTGCAATGAAATGTTGCACACCTAAGTGAGCCCCAGCTGGGAGTCAGAGGGTGAAAACAGCCTCCCCATGACATCACTAGGCCATCATTTCTCAACCACCGGGGAGCCACGGGCCCTTTAAAAATTAGATGAGCTGGCCGGGCGCGGTGCCTCAAGCCTGTAATCCCAGCACTTTGGGAGGCCGAGGCGGGTGGATCACGAGGTCAGGAGATCGAGACTATCCTGGCTAACATGGTGAAACCCCGTCTCTACTAAAAATACAAAAAACTAGCTGGGTGTGGTGGCGGGCGCCTGTAGTCCCAGCTACTTGGGAGGCTGAGGCGGGAGAATGGCGTGAACCCGGGAGGCGGAGCTTGCAGTGAGCCGAGATCACGCCACTGCACTCCAGCCTGGGAGACACAGCGAGACTCCATCTCAAAAAAAAAAAAAAAAAAAAAAATTAGATGAGCTTTATGAACCCCAGAGTCCCACTCAATGCCCTTGAAGCCTATCCAGGAAGGATCCTTGGCCCCCAGTTAGAGCCCTGTTTTAGAGAGCACAGGAAATACTTATGACTGGAGAGAAGCCACGCAAGTCTTTCGATCCATCTTTCCCCTGTGAACACTGAGACTTCATTACTCTAGGTGGAATGGCTAGCTCTCTTCCCTTCCGAATCCTGCTCCTTCAAGTAAGCTTTTCATCTGCAGAAGATTTTGAAAAAATAAACACTGAATTCAAGGTAAACCTTGGGAAATGGTGCTCTGAAGTGCAGTGGTGTCTGGTTATGGAAAGGAACAAATATCTTTGCCCTCTGCTCTGTAAGTGGCATTCTAAACCCACCAAGGGACTTGCCCAGTCCTCCAGCAAGTCCTCCAGGCCCTGCTGCCCTGTAATCCTTGGGGCTGTAGGCAGCAAAGTTCTAGGGAACTCAGGTCCCAGAAAATGCAGTGATTCTGAATGTCCAACACAGACTTCATATTCCAAAGAGATATTAGTTCTCATGTTACTATAAATCCTTCAAGACAGAGAAACCAGGTAACTTTATTCCTCATTGTTTAGGATTTTCTTTTTATTATCAAATCTCTACTATAGAAACACTGAAGAAAATGGAAAAAAAATCACTGGCGAGGCAGCATAAAATGGTGGCTGAAAACAAGAACTCTGGAGCCAAACAATCTCAGCTCTACTCCCTTACTAGTTGTGCCCCTTAGGTAGGATCCTTCAACATCTCTGCTTCGGCTTACCCATTTGTAAAACTGGGGTAACAGTATCTATCTCATAGAGTTAAGGGGACTAAACAAGTTAACACTTGGAAAGCATTTAAAATAAAGCCCAGTATATAATTGTTATATGTATTTGTAAAACTTTGTAAAAATCTCAAATTAACTGGGTTAATTTTTCCATGGATCTTTCAGGTCTTTATCCATACACAGTTTTTAGATCTGTTACAGTAAATATGTATATACAATTCTGTATCCTTTTTATTCCTTTGTTATGTATACTGATGCAGTGTCCATAATTATAATTTATAGTGATTGCCTAAAACAAAATACAAACTAATTGCCCAACAATGCAGTGATGAGTAACAATGGACGCTGACACACTGGGCTAAGGATCACTTTCTGTCCAGCAACATCAGTCTCATACTCCTAGGCAATAACTTTTCTACCATTAGTCATCTCATTCATTAATTTTCTCTAAGGAGGTTAATCAACAGTAAATACCCCATTCAATACCATTATTTTTCTTACATTCAGATTTAGCATTTCATATTCTACTCCTGAGCACCTAGACCCTCCCCTTATAACAACAAAATCTGCATTTCTACAATTATGCACAAAATGTTATTGTAAAGTTTTCCATCCAATACTCCAGCTTGATGCAAAACAGTGTATTTGCAGTCAAAAACTTTTCTCTGCATAAGGTTTTTCCCTTAGCAATTCACACCAATCTACAAGTAGGTGAGAGCTCTTGCTAAAAGATGCCTCATTCCCCACAGTCACGGTTCTCAAGTATGAATTACTGGTAGACCGTAAGGGGAGTTTAGTTTTCTTCATTGTAATTATCTGATTTTGAATAAGGGCTACATAACTGCTGAAAGCTTTTCCCTATTCTTTTACTTCACGGGGTTTCTTCTAAGATAGACATTTTCTAGTAAATAATGCGGGAGAAGTCTTACTGAACTCTTAATGAAAAATGTCCCCTCTTGATTATGTTTATAGAGTTTTCCTCAATGTGTTGTCAAAATGTACGATAAACAAAAAACTTGCAAATTCAATTCAGTTTCTCTTCACTGTGATTTCTCTGGTGTTGAAGAAGGGCTGAGTGACCACTAAAGGCTTTTCCACATTCACTGCATATAAAGCGCTTCTCTCCACTATGCATTCTCTGATGAATAATAAGGGAAGAATTCTTACAAAATGCTTTCTCACAATGATTACATTTGTAGGGCTTTTCTCCAGTATGGTTTCTTAGGTGTACAATAAGGGATGAACTCTCATTAAATGCTTTCCCACATTCATTACACCTGTATGGTTTCTCTCCAGTATGAGTTCTCCGGTGTGCAATGAGGTGAGAACTACAGTTAAAGGATCTTTCACATTGATTACATTTATAGGGTTTCTCACCAGTGTGAATTCTCCGATGAGCAACAAGGTGACAGCTTTGACTGAAGGATTTTCCACATTTATTGCATTCATAGGGTTTTTCTCCAGTATGAGTCCTTTGATGTCTAACAAGGTGAGCCATTTGGCTACAGGATTTTCCACATTTATTACATTCATAGGGCTTAATTCCAGAATGAATTATCTCATGTTTAGTGAGGGCTGAGCGTTCTCTGAAAGCTTTGCCACATTCCTGACAGTTATACGGTTTCTCTCCCGTGTGAGTTCTCTGATGGGCAATAAGATGGGAGCTCCAGCTGAAGGATTTTCCACATTCAGTACATTTATATGGTTTTGCTCCAGAATGAGTTCTTTCATGTTTACTAAGGGCTGAGTAGTCCCTAAAAGCTTTTTCACATTCATCACATTTAAAGGGTTTCTCTCCAGTATGCATTCTCATATGGGCAATAAGATGGGAGCTCCAGCTGAATGATTTCCCACATTCAGTACATTCAAAAGGTTTCTCTCCTGTATGAGTCCTCTGATGTCCAATAAGATGAGAGTTCCAGTTGAAAGATTTCCCACACTCATTGCAAACATAAGGTTTTTCTCCTGTATGAATTCTCTTATGTACAATAAGATGAGAATTCCAGCTGAAGGCTTTTCCACATTTATTACATTCATAGGGTTTTATTCCAGTGTGAGTCCGTTCATGTTTAGTAAGGGCTGAACGATTCCTAAAAACTTTTCCACATTTATCACATTCATAGGGTTTTTCTCCAGTATGAGTTTTCTTATGCTGAATAAGGTAAGAGCTCCAGATGAAAGACGTCCCACATTCATTGTAGTCATAGGGTTTCTCTGCAGTGTAAGTGCTTGTATGCTGAGTAAGGAATGAATCATACCCAAAGACTTTCTCCCATTCATTGTATTTATACGCTTTCTCTACAGTACCAATTTTTTGATGTTCCATAAAGGATGAGAAATAAAAGATATTCTCATATTCTTTGTAATTATACTGGTTTTCTCCAACATGAAGCCTTGGGTGTTCATTAAATGATGGGCTCTGGTTAAAGATTTGATGGCATTCCTTATATTCATAGAGTTTTTCTCCTGTGTGAATTTCTTTATGATCACCAAAATGTATTATATGATTGAAAGATTTAACAGCATCAGTACATTTGAAAAGATTATCTCCAGTTTGTATTCTTGAAGGGTAAATAGGTTGAATGGACTGATAAACAGTTTTGTCATAATCATTATTTTCACAGGTAACCTTATCTGCATACATTATGGCTGAGTCACATCTCCAACTTTCAGCATGCGTATCAGGCTGATAGAAATGTTCTATCTGAGAAACTCTCTGAGATGGAACAAAGTTTAAGTTCTGGCTAAACTCTGCCCCAAGTTCACAGAATTCAGAGCTTCTCTGGGATAGTACTTGCTTTTGCATGAAGACCATCTGCCTCATAGCTGTACTCTGGTTCACGTGATACATTTCTAATTGGTCTTTACATCCCAAAACTTCTAACCTGGAGAACCAAGGATCATCCCATATATATCTTTCCAACTTCATGCCACGGGATTGTTCTTCCTCAAAAATGCTCTGTGCTGGGATCAATGTTTTGCTTTCAAGATTTCTCATCCATTCTGAAACAGACAGAAAAAAAGCTATGAGAGCATAGAGAAAGATATTAGAATAAAGTGGGAATGGTGAGATTTACTGTCCATATTATCAAAAAGACAAGTATAAGTTTATTTTCAAGACCAGACTTAGAACTCAGAGAAAGATCATAATAGGGAAAAGAATAGTGAAAAGTAAACAACAGTTAACCAGAATAAAGTGTGTACTGAAAACTAATGAAACCATTTAAAAGTACTTTCCATGAAAAGGAAGACCAGGATAAGAATGTGCAAGAAAGAGGCTGGGTGCGGTGGCTCACCCAGTGCTGTAATCTCAGCACTTTGGAAGGCCAAGGCAGGCAGATCATGAGGTCAGGAGATAGAGACCATCCTGCCTAGCACAGTGAAATCCTGTTTCTACTAAAACTACAAAAAATTAGCCAGGTGTGGTGGCAGGTGCCTGTAGTCCCAGCTGCTCAGGAGGCTGAGGCAGGAGAATGGCGTGAACCCGGGAGGCGGAGCTTGCAGTGAGCCAAGATTGTGCCACTGCACTCCAGCTGGGTGACAGAGCGGTACTCCATCTCAAAAAAAAAAAAAAAAAAAAAAAAGAACATGTAAGAAAGAGTTAACTCTGCAGGCCTGACATGCTCAAACCTTGCAAAGGTGGCCTGTTTCCTAACTGGCCCTTAGCCAACTCCTGGGAATTAAGATCTTGGAATGTTCTAACTAGTAAGAGTGTTTTGCATGCTCAAGGTATTGAAGCACATTTACCAATTTCTTCAGATATGTGTGCAAACAATGTCGTTCATAGTGATCACCTGCTTTCCCTCTGGGTGGTCTGGAGTTTCAGCGATTGCAGTGAGTTACGCAGGCACTGTGTGCCTGTACAAACAACCTCTCAATAAACACACTGGACTCCTAGACTCAGGCAAGTTTCCTAGTAGACATTTCACGTGTGTTGTCACAACTCCTTGCTGGAGGAATTAAGTGTGCCCCATGTATGCTACTGGAAGCTTGCACCTAGTCTAACCCCATGCACCTTTTTCCTTTGCTGATGTTGCTTTATATTTACTGTAATAAACCATAATCCTGAGTATAATCACTTCTGAGTCCTATAAGTCCTCGTAGTGAATCAGTGAACCTGGGGTGGTCTTGAAGATCCCTGACAAAAAGACACAGTGAATGTTATTAAGGTTAAAAAAGAAAAAAAGAGAATAAAGCCTCTCATCTTAACAAAAGGTAGGTAGGTGAGCACACAAGGCCTTTAGCAAGTAATGTTTACATCATGAGTGCTCTAATTCACTTCTGTGTCATAATGTCCTTCTACTCCCATATCTTGACAAATGCAGAAAAAAGGAGGAGAGGGGTGTTAAGAGAGTATCACCAAGCGAAGCTTCAAGCCAGGCTGTGACCTATGACAAAATGCTATCACATTGTTTCCTATGTCACAGAATCCAGTCAATCACACAAGATCCACCAACCCAAAGGGCAAACATCATCACAGTTTATGGATACCCCTAAAGTTACACTTCTATCCACCACAGAATATTTTTAGAGCAATGACAGACGGACTAGGAAGACAGCATAGTGTAAAAAAACAGACACAGGCGTTACATATAGGTTACACAGGCTAACCTGTATTTGAACAATGGCCCTGCTGCTATCCTTAGAGAACTTTTCTGGTAACTAATGAGACTCAGAATCCAGCCAAACTCCTGGTAAGTTTAATACACAGGAGCTGCCTATTGTCACTACTGAAGTATCAGTTCTCTAACAACCAAAGGAGGCTATATTAGTTTCTTTCTGCTATTGTAACAAATTACCACATATTTAGTGACTTAAGATAATACAAATTTATGATCTTACCATTCTGGAAGTCAGAAGTCCAGAACGGCTTTCACTGAACTACAATGGAGTTATCGGCTGGGTTGTGCTCCCTCCAGGAGCTCTAAGGAATCCACCATATCCTTGCCCTTTCCATCTTCTAGAAGCTGCCCAAATTCCTTGGTTCACAGCTCCTTCCTCCATCTGCAAAGCTCGTCACTCTGACCTCTGCTTCTACCATCACTTCCTCTCCCTGTGTCTCTGACCCTCCTACCGCAATCTTGTAAAAGGACCCTTGTGAGTACAGTTAGAATTCACTCAGACAATCCAGGATAATCTCCCCACAGCAAGATCCTTAATTTATTCTCATCTGAAGGTCCCTTTTGCCACACAAGGTGCACTATTCACAAATTCTGGAGATTAGGATGCAGATATCTTTGTAGGGGAAGTCATTATCCAGACTGCCACAGGGTCTAAAGTCCCAGGCAAGTCCCAACAAGAACTAGACTCTGTCCTCTCTCTCTGCTTCTTTTTCTCTCTTTACTGTATGTAATTTTCCCCCTTTTACCACCCAAGTCCATTATTTTTTGTTCAATTTTTTTGAGACAGGGTCTCACTTAGGCATCATAGCTCACTGTAATCTCAAATTACTGGGCTCAGGCGATCCTCCCACCTCAGCCTTCCGAGTAACAGGACTACAGGCGTGCATCCTGTACACATAACCATGCCTGGCTAAATGTTTTTAAATTTTTTGTAGTGACAGGGTTCTGCCATGTTGCCCAGCATGGTCTCAAATTCCTGGGCTCAAATAATCCTCCCACCTTGGCCTCCCTAAGCACTGGGATTACAAATGTGAGCCCCCATCCTGGCCCCCACGACCATTATAACAGAGGGTCTACTCTGCACAACTGGCATTTATTATCAATTTCAAGCTCAGCTCTTAAAAGTTACTAAATTATCTTCATATAGATTTTAAATCCTTCCAGTAAAAGCTTTTACAAATGGAAGCTGACCAATTCCCTGACCAAATGAAAGACCAACTGAAAGACCAAATGAACAGCTCTTGTCCAACTTTATACTTACTCAGTACTTGTAGTCTACTGAGTTTCCAGTACCAGAGACGAGGCAAGAAAGTATGGTCTCCCTGGAAGTCAGAATCTATGTGATGAGAGGTCATACCAAACAGTGATGAATATACATGAAATATCACTCTGAGGCTGGGCGCAGTAGTTCATGCCTGTAATCCCAGCACTTTGGGAAGCTGAGGCAGGTGGATTACCTGAGGTCAGGAGTTCAGGACCAGCCTGGCCAACACGGTAAAACCCCATCTCTACTAAAACTCAATACAAAACAATTAGCCGGGCGTGGTGGCAGGCGCTTGTAATCCTAGCTACTCGGGAGGCTGAGATAGGAGAATTGCTTGAACCCAGAAGGTGGAGGTTGCAGTGAGCCAAGATCATGCCACCGCATTCCAGCCTGAGCAACAAGGGCGAAACTCCATCTCAAAAAAAAAAAAAAAAAAAAAAAAAGAAACATCACTCTGAGATAGTGGGGTTATAGAATACATGCTAAGTAGGTGGGAGATCAAAAAAGGAGATCAGCACTAACTGAAGTGATTGAGGATGGTTCACACAAAAGAAACAACATGAGCTCAGCCTTGAAGCACGACCTCGGTACAGAATGACTAGTCACTCTGCATGAGCAGAGGCAGGCATGGCCTGACCAGTGTGTAAGGAGGAAGATAAGGATACCTACTGAATAAACTCCAGGAACTATTCAGGAAATGAGAGAAACAATAGAAAAAATAGAAGGTCTTGAAATCCAGTTGTTTTGTTAAAAGGCAATTAGAATCACTCTAGGTTTACTGACAGGGACCTCATAATGAAGGATTTCAGGGATATAAACCCAGAAATAACACCTGAAGTGGCTAACAAGAAGTGAGAATTTCCTCATCAACTTGGGCCGGAATTTTATGAGAAAGGGGCCGGACTGAGAGTGATGATGGAAGCTGAATGACATAACTAACATTTCAGAGGAAGAAAATCTTGGGAGTTAGAAGAGAGATTACTTCTTGGCGAGGAAAGAGTAGGAAGTCAAGATGACTTCTTAATCTCCAGCTTAGGGGACATGCAGAAATACATCTCAGGGAGATGGGAAAACATCTAGAAAGAGGAGACAAGATTACTGGTTCTATCGGCTGTGATCAAGGAGACAGCTGAGATGCTTTGTAAAAGGGAGAGGTGTAAGGACAGAGGTGCTGGAATTGCAGGGCTCTGGATGGTAATTAAGGATGGGCAGCACCGAAGGCAGAAGAATTAAAGCTCCTGGAATTCATGAGCTCTTAGGGGAAAGTTTCCAATTTGAATAGAAAACAACTGACGAGATTCTCCACCAAAGTCCCCTCCATTAGAGTGGGTGGAAGATAATCCAACTTCAGGACTCAAGAAGAGACGGTGGCACATTGCCAAAAACAGTAAGATAAAGACAATGTGTATAATATTCCTACTGTTGAAAACGTGAAAAGTAACACAAATTCCTACATGCTTGTAGTTGCATAAGGAAACTGTTATGCAAATAACAGAAATTACTAAAAGTGATTACCTGGGGCAGAAAGTCAGTGAAAATGGCAAAGAAAAGACATCTAAAATTTCAACACTCTGTAAAACCAACTAAAAAACTGGCAAAACTGTCAGAAGGCAATTTTTTCAAAATTCTGTAAATTAACCAAAGCCTTGCAGCAACCAGGAAACATTTATTCCAGAAAAGTAAATTTTTTTTTTTTTTTTTTTTTGAGACGGAGTCTTGCTCTGTAGCCCGGGCTGGAGTGCAGTGGCCGGATCTCAGCTCACTGCAAGCTCCGCCTCCCGGGTTGCGCCATTCTCCTGCCTCAGCCTCCCGAGTAGCTGGGACTACAGGCGCCCGCCACCTCGCCCGGCTAGTTTTTTGTATTTTTAGTAGAGACGGGGTTTCACCGTGTAGCCAGGATGGTCTCGATCTCCTGACCTCGTGATCCACCCGTCTTGGCCTCCCAAAGTGCTGGGATTACAGGCTTGAGCCACCGCGCCCGGCCAGAAAAGTAAATTTTAATAAGAACAGTAAGCTATATGGTGTTTTAACTTACCCTGGTCCCATCTCTGGCTCAGTAACAGCCTTTGAAAATGACAGCTCCCACTGCTGGTACTTCAGCGAGCAGAACAAAGCTGGAGCTTTTTCAAAGCCTCAATCCCAAAGAACAATCATTACTAGACCTGCCTAGTGGCTCCCTGGAAGACTCCACCGGAAAAGCTGGTCTTTATTTTGCCTGACACAGAACTCTCATAGTGTTAAAAAGCCTCTAGGGAGGACGTACTTTTCTAACACTTACAGGCAATGTTTTAAAGTCACCATTGCCCAAGGTGATGGCGAACAGGTGGGGCCCAAAATACAGGAGTCAAAAAGATAGAATGAAAGAACTGAGGAATGAGATGTCTATAGGGACTCTGAGAAGCTCCAACCTGGAAGGCTACATGCATACACATAATAATTAAACTAGGGCCAGGCGCAGCTCATGCCTGTCATCCCAGCACTTTGGGAGGCAGAGGTGGGCAGATCACGAGGTCAGAAGATCGAGACCATCCTGGCTAACACGGTGAAACCCCGTCTCTACTAAAAATACAAAAAAAAAAAAAAAAGTAGTCCGGCGTGGTGGTGGGTGCCTGTAATCCCAGCTACTCGGGAGGCTGAGGCAGGAGAATCGCTTCAACCCAGGAAGCAGAGGTTGCAGTGAGCCAAGACTGCATCACTGCATTCCAGCCTAGGGGACACAGCGGACTCCGTCTCAAAAACAAAAACAAACAAACAAAAAAAAGAATTCTACACTCAGTAAAATTATCCTTCAAAAATGAAGGAGAAATCAAGAGATTTCCAGATAAACAAAACGCCACAGTTTGCTGTTAGCAAACCTGTCCTATAGGAAATGCTGGCTGGGGACAGTGCCTCATGCCTGTAATCCCAGCACTTTGAGATGCTGAGGCGGGGGCATCACTCGAGCTCAGGAGTTCAAGACCAGCCTAGGCAACATAGTGAGGCGTCGTCGTGTGCACCTATAGTCCCAGCTACTCAAGAGGCTGAGATGGGAGGATCACTTGAGCCTAGAAAGTTGAGACTACAGTGAGCCATGATCATGCCACTGCACTCCAGCCTGGGCAACAGAGTGGAAATGCTAAAGTGAGTCCCTCATGCTGAAATGAAAGAACATTCAACAGTAACTCTAAATAAAAAACATCAATAAAGGCAGCTACATAAGTATGAAAAGACAATATAAATACAATTCTTGTTTCTAGCTCCTTTTCTTAGTCTGTTAGAAGACAACTGCATAAAGCAATAATTATAAATCTATATTCATGAACACACAATGTATAAAGATGTAATCTGTGACAAAACAGCATAAGAGGAGGAGGGCAGAGCTATACAGAAACAAAGTTTTGGTATACTATTAATATTAAACTAGTATTAATCCAAACTACATTGTCATAAATCAAGATGTCAATTGTAAGGCCAGGTGTTGTGGCTCACACCTATAATCTCAGCACTTTGGGAGGCCAAGGCAGGAGGACTGCTTATGCACAGGAGTTCAAGACTAGCCTAGGCAATACAGTGAGACCTCGTCTCTACAAAAAAAACAATTTTTTTTTAATTAACTGAGCATGACGGTGCATGGCTGTAGTCCCAGCTACCCAGGAGGCTGCGGTGGGAGGACTGCCTAAGCTTGCAATGCAGAGGTTGCAGTAAGTCAAGACTGTGCTACTGTACTCCAGTCTGGGCAAAAGAGCAAGACCTTGTCTCAAAAGATGTTAATTGTAATCCCCAGGGCAACTATCAAGAAAATAACTCAAGTTTTCTTTTTTTTTTTTTTTTTGAGACAGAGTCTCACATTCTCGCCCAGGCTGGAGTGCAGTGGTGTGATCTCGGTTCACTGCAAGCTCTGCCTCTTGGGTTCATGCTGTTTTCCTGCCTCAGCCCCTCAAGTAGCTGGGACTACAGGCGCCTGCCACCACGCCCGGCTAATTGTTTATATTTTTAGTAGAGACAGGGTTTCACCATGTTAGCCAGGATGGTCTCAATCTCCTGACCTCGTGATCCACCCACCTCGGCCTCCCAAAGTGCTGGGATTACAGGTGTGAGCCACCGTGCCCGGCCAAAATAACTCAAGATTTTATAGTAAAAGAAAAGTGGTTACCTGTGTGTATGCCTCTGTGTATCTCTGTTTTGGGGGAATAACAGTAATGTGACTAAGAACAAGGAGTATAAATGAATTATTTTTGGTGTTGTTTTTGAGACAGGGTCTTGCTCTGTTACTCAGGCTGGAGTGCAATGGTGAAATCACAGCTCACTACAGCCTCAACATCCCAGGCTCAAGCAATCTTCACCTCAGCCCCCTGAGTAGCTGGGACCACAGACATGCACCACAAAGCCCAGCTAGTTTTTTTAATAAAGGAGTTTTTTTTTTTTTTTAGCTTACACATTTTAAGTAGCTTTCAGATATTTGAACATTACCTATATTTTAAAAATGTATTTTGTTTGGTATCCAAGAAGATCTAAGTAAGAAAGAACAAAAGCCCAAACCGGGCACTGTGGCTCATATTGTAATCCCAGCACTTTGCGAGGCTGAGGTGGGTGGATTACTTGAGATCAGGAGTTCGAGACCAGCCTGGCCAACATTGTGAAACCCTGTCTCTACTAAAAATACAAAAAACAGCCAGGCATAGTGGCGGGTGCCTGTAATCCCAGCTACTCAGTAGGCTGAGGCTGGAGAATCGCTTGAACCCGGGATGCGGAGGTTGCAGTGAGCAGAGATCGCACTACTCACTCCAGCCTGAGCGACAGAGCGAGACTCTGTCCCAAAACAAACAAACCAAAAAGCCCAAAAAACCTATTTTTTTTAAAGAAGTATCTGTAGTTATAGGTTACAAGTTTGGCAACAGAGGGAATAAGGAAAACATTTTAAGTAGCTACATGGATGAGAAGTAACGTTAGAAGAAGGGACCGCAGAAAACAGGACCATCAAGAGAGCCGCCAGTGAGGGAGGGAAACTGCAGCACATGAAAATGGCTATCTTATTAGGATGGTGATGCTTCTTTGCTCTAAATCAAAAGCAGCAAGAGACGAAAGCTCTTTAGAGGGAATTCTAAATATATCTGAGGAAGGTAACTCTTCATGGCCTTATTCCATTTCTTAACAAAGAGGGCCTGGGGGGAATTCCGTTCCTTGTTCAGCCTGGGCTCTGCCCTCACCTGGACAAGTGCGTTGAGGACATGCCTGCTCCACCGACCATGGCTCTTCTCCTTGCTCCAACAGGGAGATGACCTCAGGCTTGGCAATCTGATTTCCTGTGCATGGAGGAAAAGCATGGAACTCGTGTCATGAGGCTTTGGGACAGCCAAAGAAAGCTTCTCTTGCCTATTCCTCCCTGTGACTTCTCAACCTGGGCAGAATACACAAGGTCCTTCCCACTCCATGCTCTGTAAGCATTAGGAGTTTTGTCCCCAACCCTCAGGGCCCAAGATCATCTCAGCTCTTCTGAGACACCACCCTCGCCCCTGCAACGAGCTTCTAAACATGGAGCAGCTGAAGGCATTACAGCTTCGTTTACCCGGGCAGCACCTGCCTTACCCACAGAGAGCAGGTGCCCATAGGTCTCCAGCATCACATCGCGGTACAGAGTCCTCTGAACAAGGTCCAGCTGCCCCCACTCTTCTTGGGTGAAGTCCACAGCCACGTCCTTGAAGGTCACTGGTTCCTAAAAGAACACAAATGTTCCTTCTCAGCCTGTGACCACCGCCTCCAATATTTCTAGGGATGGAGTGAGGCTGACAGCCCTGGGGAGAGAAGATAGGATATAGAGAAACTGTCCTGGTTATTCATGAGTCTGACTAATGTGAGGCAGGGCTCACTGAGAACCACCCAAGACCCCATCTTTGGTATATCCTCTTAGGGAATTAGATACCTGGGCCCACAAGAACCACAGCAAAGCTGAGCAGGTCTCTTCGAAGACTCTTGCCAAATTCCAGCACACTGGCTATGTCCCCCACCTTGGCAATGCCCCTCTTCTGGAAAGGCAGTCATGTAATAAGGCCTGGACCGGTGCGGCAACAGGCTATAAGCAATGGTTGCAAGCCAGAGACCTTCAGGATGGAGTCTTTGCTTCGGGTGATTCTGTACATTCACAAGTTGTCTTTCTGGCCATGGTGGGGAGCCTTCCATTCCCAGTTCATCTCTGTCCCAAGGACTGAAGCTAAGGGTGTGCAGGATGCCCCAGAGCAGCCCAGTCCAAGGAAAATTGGTTACAGCTGCCATTAAAAGCACTTTAGTTACAAACAATCTAAACTGATTTTTTTTTTTTTTAATGAAAGCAAGAAAACTGGAAAACTAGAAGGAAAAAGGAAAGGTAATCTAAGTCTGATTTTTCCTATGAATACATCCCTCAAGTCCTTTTATTATTATTTTTCTTGAGACAGAGTCTCACTCTGTCGCCCAGGCTGGAATGTCATGGTGCGATCTCAGCTCACTACAACCTCTGCCTCCCAGGCTCAAGAGATCCTCCTGCCTCAGCCTGCTGAGTAGCTGGGACAATAGGCGTGCACCACCACGCCCGGCTAATTTTTGTATTTTTAGTAGAGATGGGGTTTCACCATGTTCACCAGGCTGCTCTCCAACTCCTGATCTCAGGTGATCCGCCCACCTTGGCCTCCAAAAGTGCTGGGATTACAGACTTGAGCCACTGCACCCAGCCTCAAGTCCTGATCTGAGCCGGCCCTCCCTGCTGAATCTTCAGTGTATCAACTTTTATTGTCTCAACTGCTTCCCCTCTACCTTCAAATGATGGGCTTAAAACAAAGAACTGCTTCTGCTCCAATAAATACCATACCCTGAAAAGTCAACTCCTGCTCACAACTCTCCAGGCTCAGCCTTACTGTACCCCACGGCAAGGACTGTCCATCCTCTTTTCCATGGCTGAACCTCACCTCTGGGTCCCACATCCTCGGAGGCAAAGAATCATCCCTCCCAAAGCCTCACACCCCCCGTAGAGACGTCTCCTGCACCCTTGTCCCATTTCTTCTGTGTCTCATGTCCTCAGAGGCACAGAATCACCCCTCCTGCAGCCTCACACCCCCTGTAGAGATGTCTCCCGCACCCTTGTCCCACTGCTTCTGGCAGTCAACCTCCTCCTGCAAGGTACAGCGCACTCTCACCTTCTCTCCTTCCTTGTCGTCCGGCCATGCCCCAGGGCAGTTCCTTCTCTGCCTTTATTATCCGTTTTCCTGTTCCTTGATAATGGAAATTTTTTCTGAATATTTGTCATTTTTGCTGATCTATATTGAAGCATTTTGGAGCAATAATTATATGAGTCTTATTTTTACCAGGCTGTCACCAAGATCTCACCAATGTCTTGTGATTGCCAAGTCCAAAGATTTATTTCTGCCTTTACCTTCTTGGCCTACGCAGCATTTAGAAGTGCTGGCCACAACCTCCCTCTATGATACCCTCCCAAACCCCATGGTCAATGACAACTTCTTGGTTTTCCTCTCACAGACTGCCCAGACCTCAGTATGCTTGATGGCTACTGTTTCTACATTTTATGGTAATGTAATTTTTTCTTTATTTAAATGTAACATGGGAGTTGGGAGCACTGGCTCATGCCTGTAATCCCAACACTTTGGGAGGCCAAGGTGGGTGGATCATTTGAGGTCAGGAGTTCAATACCAGCCTGGCCAAGATGATGAAATCCCGTCTCTACTAAAAGTACAAAAATTAGCTGGACACGGTGGAGCACTCCTGTAATCCCAGCTACTCAGAAGGCTGAGGAACAAGAATCCCTTGAACCCGGGAGGCAAAGCTGCAGTGAGCCAAGATCGCATAACTGCACTCCAGCCTGGGCGACAGAGTGAAACTCTGTCTCAAAAAATAAAAAAACAAAAAACAAAAAATAAATGTAACATGGACAGAGAAGTGCACCACACCTATGCCAGATGCACTTTCACAGAGCAACAGCACCTGGGGAGGCAGCTAGGCAGCTGTGCTGATGACCCAGGGTGCCTCTGACCCGGTGCTTCTCTCACACATCCTAACCTCCCTGGGGCAGCACCTTCTTAGATGGCTTTGATGTTCACCTACACTAACAAGGTGCAAACCCACACCCTAACGCTGTCCAGCTGGTAGACCAAGCCACAAATTCACTTCCCACCCCTCCCAAGACCCCAGTGGAATCATTATATGTTTAAAAATACAGGAATTAGGTCTAATAAACACAAGAGGAATGAAATTGTGAGAGCGGTTCTGCAGTCCCGAATAAAACAGTGGACAGTGGCATGACCATCAGTGACTGCTCAGCCGCAGGTGAAAGGTAGACGGGGGGCTTTATAATGGAGGGGTCAGCCTGACAGTACCTGCACCCACTAACCCACCATACCTGAAAATGGGACAACCAGACACCATGTGCTCACGGATGCAAGCAGTACGAAGAACCCAGCACCACCTACGAAGTATTCTTTCTAAAAATACCAGATGAGTCTACTCAGGCCTCTAGTCCAACTACTGCTCACAGGAGACGAGGCGATGGAGGAATGTATTCAATGACATCATGAAGGCAAAAATCAGGCAAATCAACGAGACCAGTGACCTAGCTTCTTCCGCATAGGAAGCACGTGCAGTGTGTGAGCCTTGTTTGGATCCTGATTTGAACAAACCAACAACTGTAAAAAGTTATCTTAGGGACATGTAGAGAAAACAGTATGAACTGGATATCGGGTAACATTGAGGAATTATGGGTAATTTTGCTGAGTATGATAAACATATTATGATTTCTTCCTTAAGGGTACATATCTCTTAGACACACACACAGAAACACTCACAGGTGAAACGATACAATTCTGAGATTTGCTTTCAAATCCTCCAGTTTAAAAAAGGTTGTGTTGGAATAGATGAAAAGAAATGCAGAAAGCAGAAAGCTGACAGCTGCTGAAGCTGGTCAACATGGGTGCTTGCAGCAGGCTGAATGACACTCCCCAAAAGATGCCCATGTCCTAATCCTAGAACCTGTGACTGTTATCTTAATGATAAAAGGAACTTTACAGATATAATTAAGAATCTTTAGTGGGATTATCTTGGATTACCCAGGTGGCCCAATGTAATCACCAAAGTCCTTATCAGTGAGAGAGGGAGGCAGGAGTCAGAGTCGCAGGAGATATGACACAAGCAGAGGTCGGAGTGATGTACTTTGCAGACGAAGGACAGGGCATGAGCCAGGAAGCAGTCTCCCTTGAGCCTCCAGAAGAAACACAGCCCTGCAGACCCATTTTAGACTTCCGAGCTGCAGAACAGTAGAATAAATTCATGTTGTTCTAAGCCATAAAGTCTGTGGTAGTCTATTACAATAGCAACATAAAACCAAACTAATACAGGGTTCATCTTCTACTTTGGGGTTCAAAAATCTCCTAACAAGTTTGTTTTGTTTTGTTTTGTTTTTTGAGACGGAGTCTCACTCTGTCGCCCAGGCTGGAGTGCAGTGCCTGGATCTCTGCTCACTGCAAGCTCCGCCTCCCGGGTTTAGCCATTCTCCTGCCTCAGCCTCCCGAGTAGCTGGGACTACAGGCGCCCGCCACTTTGCCCAGCTAGTTTTTTGTATTTTTTAGTAGAGACGGGGTTTCACCGTGTTAGCCAGAATGGTCTCCATCTCCTGACCTTGTGATCCGCCCGTCTCGGCCTCCCAAAGTGCTGGGATTACAGGCTTGAGCCACCGCGCCCGGCCAAGTTTTTTTTTTTTTTTAAAAAGAAAGTTAAAGAAATAACCCAGCCAGTGAAAAAAAATGGGGGCGTCAGCACCTTGAATTCCACTCATTCCTCCCAGAGGCAGAACAGATGAAGGTGAGATTGACCAACTAGACTAGAGGCGAATCCAGCCCCACACTAGGAGGCACCATGGTGAAGCAGGTGCTTCCTGCAAGAGGACTCTAGGAGAGGCAGGAGTGAGTCAGGCTAAAAACAGCAGGCAGAAGCCTGCACTTGAATAGCTTTGCAAGTGCCCCACCTCATGGGCAGCACTGCCAGCAGCCATGCACTTATACCCAGGCAAAAGTCCCAGGAGCCTCCTCAGACTTCAGACTGCGGCTAAGTTCTCAGGCTGCCCAGATGCGTGGAGACCTCTTCAGTCCCACCAGATGGGGAAGAGAAGGGAGTCTGCGGCCTCACAGCTCTTTATCTATGAAACTGGAAGTAGAGCTGATCGGCTGACCCTGGCCCATGAAGGCCCACGAAACCCAGGGCATGCCTCACCAGGAGGGCAGAGGGGAGCGGAAAGCACCAATCAGGAATCAGATCTACGCAGCTGCAGTAGAGCAGGACTTCCAGCCTCACAGCCCTGCCCTAGACCAGACGACTCTTGGACAGGAGAAATCCCTGATGCAGATCAAGAGACAACTAAGTAGCCACAAGGTCAGAGAATCCAGACAACAGCCACATTCAACTTTCAGAGAACTGTAATTCCTATTCTCAGATTCTCAGATCAGAGTGATTTCAGTATAAAGTGGGACAGGATGCTACAAGAGAGGCTGAGAGAAGAGGAAAGCCTTCACAGAGTAAGAAAAGACCAGAAGACACAGCAATTAGTTCAGGAGGCCCTAGACAGTTCTGCTGTGGTGAGAACATGATCATCACACCCCCAAACTCCGCCAAGAAAAGGACATGGAATATAAAGAGATCAGAGACACGACAATTTGTTCAGGAGGTCCACCACCTAACAGA